AGCGCCTATCTAAAGTTCTAATAATTCTACGCTCGTTTAAAACGTTGAGAGAACCGCTAATAAAAATCATAATTACTCTAAACTCGCCCCTTCCTTTTTTTTATTTTTTTAGCAATCGGCATCAGTAATTTAATATTATTAAAATGATGTCCGTGGATACTTAAAAGAATCGTTTCTCGGAGAACATAGTGTAATAGAGAATATAAAAATAAACATAATAATGTTTACGACCATGAAAACCTCGCGTCATAAAACCATTTCATCTTAAAATGAGTATGATTTAGTGTAAAACTGCGAAAATTAAAGAACGCAAATGTATCCAGGGTGTTAATGAAATATCAATTTGAATACAAATGTTAATTCCTTTTTTAAATTTGTAAATAAAAAGCCACATTAATACAATTTCTACCATCTCGTTCGAGTAAATCAAAAATCAATATGTCAATACACTATTAATACACTATCTGTAATAAATAGATATTTGTAGTCGTTAATTTTATACAAAATATTAAAGTTAAAATAACTCTAAATGATACTTTTTATTCTGTTTTACGTGGCGTACATATTATTGTGGAAGACAAGATAAAAATATTTATGATAAGGATCTGGAACCATTTTCGTAATACTATTTATACGAAAGCGAATTTGAATATGTTTCATGTGGATAAATTTGAATTATTTTTTTTTTTTCAAAAATGTCGCTTAAGCTGCCTACACGCAACCCCTGAAATATCGATAGTATGCTTGAACGACTATATCCTCTGAATAGATCTTTCAACACAAATATCGCGAATCAAAATATATAGGTGAATAAAATATTATAACAGTTATCAATTTATTGTTGACAAAATTAGGAATATAACACCGATTCGAGTTACAATATCACATAATAATATACATATAGTTTCGTCAACGATACACATCTATATATACAAGTCGTATAACAATAATATAAACCTATCGGTTTTAAACAAACAATAACATATTAAAGGTTTTTCAAGAGGATTACATTCAAATTATATTATCAATCAGATAACAACAATATGCACAGACAGAAATGACCCGAGGAGAACTGCGATAAAAATAATATGCGCGATCTTCAGGGGAAAGAATTAAGACTACTGTATAATCTGTACTCTCGAAACTGTTTTAACAATACCGAATACCAATCGAAATATTTTGAATTTTTTTTTGTATTCAAAATATCTACAGATACGTCCGATTTTATAGCGTGAACAGTGTAGGTATTATGTTATTATATTATAGTGACGATAGGAAATATCGTCATTCCCATTTGCTTACCATGGAAACGAAGTAAAACTTCTCGAAATCTTGTTCCTGTTGCCGGATGGCCGGCAAACTGTTGGCCAGATCGGCGTGCTGGACCAACGTGTGTTCGCCTTTGTTGGTCAACCAGGAGAGGACCTGTGAAATGAAAATAAATCTTCCGGTCATTTGTCACGGCACAAAGTCTCATACAATTAGCGAGCGTTCTGTCGCTGTGAAAGCAAAGTCACACGAGAGAATACTGTAATATTCTTATAAGTAAGACGACGTCTGCCTAATGGTTTTTTTTTTTTTTTA